AAATATTATTAAAAATTATTATTTTAATATTTAAAAATTTTTCTTAAATAAAAATTACGAAAAATAAAAACAGATAATTTTAATCCATCTTTAAAAAATTAAATTAATATTTATTCAATATAAATTTCACAGTTTAATTTTTTTTTATAACTATTTCTATTAACTAAACTTTTATAACTAAACTATAATTAAAACTTTCTTTTTTTCTTTATATATTTAAATTTATCGAAATATATTTTTTGTTTTAATCATGTAATTTAATAATTGCCTTTCAATTTGTAAGATTGAGATGATTGTATGGGCAACGTTGATATGAAAAGTTGTTAAAAATCATCGTGCATGTGAATAACAAACGCACGATCGTAGATCGAAATCATAAAGACGAGACCGTAGTGCTTGACTAGGGCTCACATTGGCAAATGGCATGAGGATATTTGAAACACTATCGAATTGAACTTCTGATCTACATTGTTTTATAGGTACGTCGGCGATACTCGCATCGAGAGAAAGCAGAGCCAGTTTTATAGTCAGTCCTACACCGTCCCGAACCCTATTATCACCGTCACGGAACACACGCCAACCCCATCCCCCGATTACATGAAGCGTCAGGTAAAGAAATCTGCGATTTTCTGCAAAGTACGATCGCACGATAAAGTCAAAAGAATATCTTTAAATTTATTTCTTTTTTTTTCCCACTTGCAAGATACAATTTAATTAATAGTGTTATTGTTGTTAATTTTTTTTAAGCCTTATTTGCTCTTCAGGGATCTATCGACAGTCAATTAGATGTCATCAGTGTTCAAGGTGGTCGTTTGTGTTCTGAGAGGAAACCGAGTCTCACGAGGTCCCAAACGGATTCTAATATTACTTATATGAGCGATGAAATACCAGAAGCTCCGGGTTCCTCATGTTACATTACCAAAGAAGGTGATGTCGATCTTCAAGTTATCTTGAAGGTAATTGAAAAATATATACAATATTGCATTTTCTCAATTCTGTATAAATACACACGTTTTTTTATTGTCTAGGCGATACATTTCGTTGCTTTGCGAGATAACACCTCTTGCACACCGCGAGTTTGCGAGATTATACTGAACTTGATAGAACTTTTAATGGATATGGGAGTGATGAAACATTGCCTTCGAGAGGAAGCTATCGGCAGTAATGCAGGCAAATTAAATTAATTAAAATGATTATACATTACTTAGAATTATGTAGTATTTTAAACAATTTTATATTTTTAAGTAATTTCTGTTTTCCTTATTCTTTCTTTAAAGAAATTTAAAACTGGAAAGTAATGAATTATTTATTTGGAATATTAAAAATACTGTTGTTCAGTATTCAAATAAGTAATTTTAATACTCAAAATAAGTAATTAATCACTTCAGTATTAAATTAAATTCCTATAGTTTCAAAACAAAGATGAAATAAAAGAATTATTAATAATAATAACTTTTTTTTTTTTAATATAATTACGTTCACTTCGAAATCAATTTTATTTCTGCCAGGATCTGGTACAGGAATCGACAATAAGTCGGAAACAGGAAAGAAACAGGATTCGCCAACAGAATTACCTCAGGAACATGGGTACGATTCGAGTAAGAGCAAGCCGACTGCTCACAATCTCCTCATGAATTGTGTGATCAGAGTACTGAGGCATTTAGGCTGCCCACACGGTTGCTTGGACGGAGTACGTGGACCTCAGGCTGATATTTGTCGCTCTCAAGGTCAAACTATCCTGACAAAATTGCATCGCGCAAGTTCCCGTCAATTCTCGAGATTCTTACGAACGATGATACGAGAGCAACCGTTGACGGAAATCTTGGACTTCTTTCACGCATATGTCGGATATTGCGTTGATCCGAGTTCATTGCTATCGCCGCTTAGTGAGTAAATTAAATGCGAATTTCAATTAAACTTTATTGTACTCTCTAAAACTTTTACTCTTTAGAATGAATCTCATTTTGAAAAGTGAAATTTCACTCTTAAAAATTGAGCCAATCTTTCTCAAGACTGGTTCAATTTTTATTCTTTGATGTGAAATTTCACTTCGAAGAATTAAAGACTAATTTAGAGATCATTTTATCTTGTATAAAGAAAAATTGATGAATTTATTGTTATTAATATAAAGAAAACATGTTCTTTATCATTTTCTTAGATCAGAAGAGAATGTCGGGGAAATCGCCCGACGTGGCATCTCAAAGTGGATACGCGACGAACTTCGGTGCCGGCATGATCGGTTCCGGAACTGGTGGAAGTGGAGTCGGTACTTCGGGTGGAAGCGGCGGAAACGTCGCAATAGCAAGCGGCGTCGCGACGTCGTACAATACCGGCGGTTACGGAGCGCGCGGTATCGAAGGGCAGATTATGTCCTGCGTCTTTAAGGTCTTGGTGACCCGTCTCATCGGTTCCACAAAGCAGCTAAAGGCTCAAGAGAACATCAGTCTCTACTGTGATGTGCGACAGTTGATGACGTACGTCAAGGAGGCGCACGGTGGTATTTTCCGACGGGTCGCTCTAAGTGGAATCCTGGATTCTGCTGATCGACCGAATAAACGATGTAACAGCAATATGCAGACAACACGTGTCATAAGGTATATGGATAAATATGAACATTCTAACCCAGAAATAATCATCTGATTTTTTAATGTAAATGATTGAGATATCTTTATACCTTAATTAAAATCACTATTATAATACATTATATATTATTAATTGTTTTCCGATTTATTAATATTTGAGAACATTATGAATATTAATTTAATCACAATTTTCTAAAAAAGTAAAAACCAAACATTATAAATGAAATAAGCAAGTTAAGTAGCTTATATATATATATTATGATATAGTATTTATGATATTATATATAGTATTTATAACAATATTTCTAAAACAAAGATTTTGATTAACATAACCCTTTTTATTGCAAATTTTTGTTGAAAATATATATTTAAAGATTTGTAAAAAGTAATTATCAAAAAAGAAAGAAAATGTAAAAAAATACAATTTCACTTTACAATTCACATTTTGCTGCTAAGATGTAAAAACATTCCAAGTGATTATTCTCGGATTAATAATAATAGCTAATTATAAGTGATCTTGTTAGAAAATATTATTTGAGAAGTGTGAACAAAAATGCTTTTTAAGAATTCTATCACAGGGTCTTTCTACATATTTAATATTAATTTCGCAGACATATTCATCAATCGGATTTAGAGGAACATGCAGATATCGGGGGAGACACGTGTTACACCGTTGACGATAGGGGCACACGAAAGTTCCTCTTTAAGAAAAGGAGCACATCTTCCACTTGTGCTGTAAATATAATAATAATCGCAAAATAATTACACTGTTATCTGTCATTCTGTATAGTATTAAAAAGGTTAACTGGGTAGGCGGGATCGAATTTACAGAGTCTTCTCGAGACGGAATTGAGCGAGGAAAACATAAAGATTAGTCAAAGCCCGTTGGGTAATCTGCGTAAAAAACATCATGTGTTGACACCCAGACAGAGCGAACGTAATTTAGGTATTCTAGGCGAGCCTTCTTTGGGACCGCGGAAATCGACGCGGTTTCAAATTGGCGGTATCGGTGAGCAGCAGGAATTGCACGTATCATTTGCGGAGCACTGTGAGCCATTATATTAAATCGTTTCGATCGGTTTTAGTTAATTGGTTCCGGAAGGAGTATAGTCGGACCGATTCTACCGATAGCCATGAAAGTAGCGAGTCGCCTACAGACGGTAGCTTTGTTAGGCAACCCAGCTTCCATTACGGCCATCGCAGCGCATCGCGAAGCAGTCGCGGGTAAATAATCTATTTAAAATACTAATTCGTTGTTACGTGCCTACATAAATTATTCCATTATGTTAAGAAGTAAAGAATAAGAAATTACGTATACATATTGAAATGCGATTTTTTCCTAGGGTTGGTATATCTCTGCAAAAGGCAAAACGTCGGATGGAGGATCAACTGAATAAAATCGGTTTTGGAAAGAATAAAAAGAAAGAAAGCATGGAAGAAACGCCCGGAAACTGTAAGAGTTATTTAAGCTTGCATATCACAGAAATTATTTTTTTTTGTATGGGAAGTTGAAACTAATCAATTATCATTTTTAGTATATAAGAAATAAGAAATAGGAAACAAGAAAAATGTCCTCTAAATAAGAGTTTTATTTGTATATAAAGTAAAAATAATCAGAAATATTTTGATCATTATTAAATGTTTATAAAAATATCAAATATTGCCAAACCTTAAAGATATATATATATATATACATCGAAAATTAAAAAAATTTTATTTAATATTTTTTTGACAAAAAAGAGACACCTTGCACATATGATTACATGTAAATTATTATTTTGCTACAAAATTTGTTTATGTGAATATTTATTCACCATCCAAGTATGTCCATATCTGTTTTTGATTAGATTTCAGTCGAAAGAATTCTATAGAGCTCGGCGAGGTTTGTAGAGAATCCGAGTTTGTTGTACTGAAAGAGAGAAGATTAGTACCACGCTTCGCGGTATTTGAAGGAATGTTACGATTTTCCTTTCTTCTGGAGACCTGCCAACCAGGCTCAGTTCCCGATCCTCATCTAATGGCGTCGCTTCTAGATCTTGTAATGATTACTTATATTTTCATACTTTATATTTTTGTAAAATGTAATAGAAATTAAATGTACTTAACTGTGCGATTACAGCCATACGCGCCGGTAGTATCTCGCGCCTGCTTGATATTAGAATGCGCGCATTTGGTGCATCAGTGCAACAAAGGCCACTGGCCCGCATGGATGAAGCACAATTTCCCCATGTTTCGACCGTCTGTGCCGATAAACAGTCGAAACGCCTCTAGTGCACTTAGACGCGTTCATATACTGCAACGCACAGCGGGAAAATTATTTTATCAATGGGCAGAGGTATTTTTGAACAATAGACATTTCTTTTTTTATTGAAAGAGTTTGTGATAAAATAAAATATATAAAATTGTAATTAAAACAGGCTATAGGAGCACGTTTAGAAGAGTTCTTAGCTGAAGATAAGCAAAACATGGAGCAGGTAACCACCATAGTATCTGATGAGAGCAAACAGAGAGATTTGATTTTGGAAGATGAAGAAGAAGATTTTCTTGATGATGGTAATATCTGTGTTTAAAATATGAGAACATCGATTCAGTAGTCAGATAGAATATAACTAAGATTAACTTTCAGCTAGTATAAATAATTATGGATCCCAGTGTCCCTTCGCGTTACGTCTCGTCGCTTGCGTTTTGCTGTTGGAAGTGACGGCGTTTCTTAGAGAGACTTATCAAACTTTGCCGAAGTCAAGTAAACTGTTAACGAAAGAACGTCCCCCGGCTTGGGAAAGAATGTACAGCCGAGAAGCGAATCGACGGTGGAGCGTGGCTTTGTCGTCCATGGGCCATTCACAGGCATCCGCGCAGAGTCTTCAATCTATAGCTGGCGATCGCGAAGTTGTCGGTTAGTCTAGAATGATATATAATTAATGGAGCGCGTAATTTGAAATAAAATCATCTTGTTTCGAAAACGGCCACGAAGTACTTGACCGGCAAAAATAAATTTATTCCATAGCGGAGCGCAAAATCAGTTTTGTCCTCTACGAACCTGATAATGAGTCTGAAGGAAGCAGCAAATCAAATGTTACAATTCAAGGTGAAGAAACCCAAAATATCGAGAAGGAGAAAGCAAAGAGAGTGCAGGCATCTCAAAATAGACCATACCTTCTTCGTCGCAGTACTGCTACGACTGGTTCATTTAAAAAGAGAAGCCTTAAACTTCGTCGCAATACTAAGGAGGGCAAGGATACGGAATGCGAAGCGTGTAAATAAAATATTAAAATAAAAATCGAAGCTAATGTGAATATTATTAATTCCCTATAAACATAATTAATTTTTTTTATAAATTGTTCTCTTAAATTGTAGATTAATATCATTACGAAATTAATTTTATTTATTAACATTGACAATTACATATGCGTTTTAATAAAATTATTTTTGATCTAGATACAGTAAAACGCGCAGATTCGATTCAATCTAACAGTAAGAGGAAAGTAAGCTCCCTGTCTGATAGAAGCGATACGTCTGAACCTGGTGTCGCTGGCGAAGTCAGTGGCGATGAATCGCCTGGAATTCTCAGCGACGATCAGCCGCCGGAGAGTCCAAGCGATAGCAACGAAACCGATGAGACTAATAAGAATTTCCCATGGATGAAGGTGCTCGTGCAGGTTGCCAATTCCTTCAATTTTTATTGCTCCCATCAGAACTTCTGCCATCCTTTCTGTCATCGCCGACAAATGCGCGCTAGTAGTAGATTGATAAAGTCGGTGAGAAAAATCTATGGAGAGGAATTTGGTATACTAAACGGTACGGGTTTATTCGATATTGACTCTGATAAGAAGGATGACAAGAAAGATAAACGCAGCCGTAAAGTATCTGATCAAACTAGCACTCAGGTATCACCTATTCGAAGGAAAGACAGCGTGGGACGCAAGTACAAGTAATTCAAATTTTTTTTTAATATGTTACTATGGATATTATTTGTTAATTAAATAAATAGTTAACTTATTAAATATTAAATGAATATTCTGTGTAAAATTAATAGAATATTGTTAATTCACTAAATACTTTTGTCAATATATACATACTTAATTGTAAAAATCTCTAATCAAAATTTAAATAATTATCTTTTTCTAAATTACTTGATATTAATTTAATCAATATTTTTACAGAATAGAAAAAAATTTAGATGGTTCTCAATCTGGTCGATTGACTCAAAGGGATTCCTCGAAGGATCTCGCAGAGCAAGACTCTGAAAGGGGCAAGGAATCCTTGAGAAGAACTACAACGAAATATGACATTGAACAAGATAGAGAGCCACCGCCGGTTTTGAAATACATAAAGACTCAAGTAAAGGATGCTTTTCATGCACCTTTGGCTACGTTAATCAAAGGGGCGGTCGTGATGACGGAAGATTTATTCGTGGAAGTATTGCCTGTCGCTTGGGAACTCTTATTAGAATCCAATCAAGAAGTCGCTGCATCAGCAGCGGCACTTTTTATAGTATCGGCGGTGCGAGCACCGAACCAGGCCAGTGATTTGATGCATAAAGGCCTTCAACACAATAATACTAGTGTGCGCATAAACGCCATTTTACGATTTCAAGTTCTGTGGAAATTACGATATCAAGTGTGGCCGCGGATGGAAGAGACAGCTCATTTAACTTTCAAAGTACCTCCGCCAGGAATAGAATTTACTCTGCCTTCACCGAAGATCGGAATAGAATCCTTGCCGGTAGTGGATCCACCCTGGATGCCTCAGGTCAAAACAAAAATGGAGGAGGTCACGATTAATCAGGAACATCATGTGAGTGAATAAATATTAAGAATTAATGTAGTAGTGAGTGTACATTTTTTTTACACAGAATATTCTTGTTTAGAGTATAAAAAAATTATTGAATATATTGGAAATTTTGTATTTTCTAATGGAAATGACAGAAGTATTTAAAAATTTAACTAAATATAGATCTGAAAATAATTTTGTTTGATGACGATGAAGAGAATTATGTAGACCGTTCAAATTGGTTGTTGAATTATTAAAAGTTTGCGCAGTATTGTCATCAACATTTAAGCATTATATATAATTATTTTAATGACGTAAAACAAAATTATTTACAGATCAAATTCTTTTAGATACTTTAGATACTGTAAATTAATAGACTATTTGTGTCGCTTCTTATTTAGAGATCTCTAGTGACCGCAACGAAAACGCGGAAGAAACAGCAGACCGAACTGATCACGAGGGCTCTTCAGGCACAGGACGACAAAAAACGGGAAGAAAGAGAAAATTTTCTTATTACGACGATACCAATTACTGTACAAGCCGCTTACGAGCCCAGTCCAGTAGGGGACGATCACGGTGATGAAGGTATACAACTCATTTCTTTCTAAATATCCATTGTTTGCAATTTCTCTCCTTTTTTAATAAAGGTAATGTAGGAGATGAAGATGCAGCTGAGACTGTCCCAAGGAATACTCAAACTCATCATAGTCAATCAGCTCTTTCGTTATTTCCTTCATCACTATGTTCAGCGATCGTTCAAATTATTAATCTCTTGGATGATCCAGCAGTCTCCGATGATGGAAACGCGGTGTACGAAGTGGCATATCAGGTACAAACAAAAATAAATGTGTAAGCTGTAATTTTACATGTTTTGTTATTTAATAATATTAATTTTTTATCAGGTAATCTGGAGTTGCTTGGTGGAAGATAGCGCGCTGTTTCTACGATACGTACTGGAACGTCTTACGAGAGAGAAGCAAGAGTTAATGTTTAAGGTTTTGAGACATCTTATCAGATTTGTGCCGAAATTACCGCAACAGGCTGCGTTTGCACTTTATAATTATATTATTGGATATGTCATGTTTTACGTGCGCACTCCACACGAGGAAGGCCAAAAATTAATTGGAACCGCATTGTCAATTCTGTGGATGGTAAAACATAAATCTGTTTTCAATTTTCACACGTTTTTATTTAATCATTAATATAAAATTGCTAACAATGATTTTTTTCTGATATCAGGTGGTGCACAGTGTACACGGCATTATGTTTAAAGATCTGAAGCAAATCCTCCGAAAGGAACAATGCGATGCATCAATCCTACTCACAGCGAACGTTCCGTCAGCGAAAAAAATCATCGTTCATGGTCCGCAGGATCCTGATGCTGGAGAAATACCCTCGCAATTTCCGGTGCAAGAGGACACGCAATTTTGTCAGATACTTCGAGAATCCTTGGATTTTTTTGGTATCGAAGAATCAAAGCATCACGAGTATTTCCTCGTGGATTATAAGACGCGTGAGTTCTTATTTTATTTAGCTATCTTCAATGTGCAATAATATTCCATTCCGTTAATATTGCTCAAATTTTTCATCAACTTACAGATCAAATACACAATCCATCATCATATGTTAGAGACTATTATTTTTTCAAAAGATCTCAATTCCCGCAAATCGAACTCGTTCACATGAAGCAGGAGGATGCATTCAATGCGTTGCAACGGCAAGAATTAATGCACAAATTCGTAGAAATAGGAAAGGTGCTGTTGACCTGGGCGATTTTGAAGAATGTCGACATGGTAGTGCAAAGAGTTGTGTTTCTTCACGAAGAGCTCATGAAGCTACCGTCGTTTCCGCGAAAAGCGCTAGAAGCCGACTTGGACCTGTACAAAGGTGGTGAAATTGGCAGAGTATGTATTTAAATTTTTCTTATATACATTTTCTTATATACACTTAATACTTTATACCTTCTTTATCTAATTAATTTATATTAAAACATTTAAATTGTTTAAAATAAAATACATTTATAGATAAATTTTCTTCTATAAATTCTCTTTATCTTTAGGAACTTCTTGGGTTGGACGTGATGCATAAATTTATGTGGGTTAGATTGATCGCACGCATGTTTGAGGCCATGGCCGGCAATTTTGCATATTCCGGTGATATTCATCTCTTTCTAAACGTTCTGAATGGCGCCGTGATTATTCATAGCGAGGATTCCTGCATTCTACGCTACGTCGTGGCGACCTACATAAACGCTGCGCATAATTTCAAAAACATTTTCTCAACGAACGGTTACTTGCTAATCATGCCGACCTTACTGCAACTATACTCGACGCATCAGACAAATAAGCTCGTGACGACTACTGTTGAGTACGCTGTCAAACAATTTTATCTCATGAATCGTAAGCCCTTCATTCTTCAGATGTTTGGCAGTGTTTCTACTATATTGGACACGGATATTAAAAGTGTCCATGGCGAGGCTCATAAGGTTTGTTTCAATGATAAATAAAAAAAACATATAAATATTTCTTAAATAAAATTGATCGGAAAATAATATTGATCGTGATTTTATTAAGGTTCCATCTACGTGCCTATTTAACTTATTATTGAGTTTGGAAACTCCATCACCAGATCCACTTAATATAGGAGAATTAGTAAAAGAGGAGAAGCCTTTGAAAGCGATAGATTTTTGTTATCATGACGAAAACGAAATGGTTGATGTGCTTGACTGTATATCTCTCTGTGTGATGGTGATAGCTTATGCACCTGATTCGATTAGAGGCCAACAAATGCTGGTAAAATGTTCAACATAATATTGCTAACTTAATTTATGTATTATCAAATGTATTACGTTATATTTTTTTATAGACAATATTGGAAGCGATATTGCCGTGCTATGTTCGGCAAATCCAATTACCCACGTACAATAAGGAAGGCAAAACAGAAAAGGAGATAATAAATCAATTAGCGATTGCAGTTAGAACTTTAGTCAACAATTCTGAAGCGTTGACAAAGTACGAATTAAATTCATCATTTGCTTCTCTTACAATATTCACTTCTTTTCAAAATGCAACTTAATACAAAATTAATACCTTAATTCTCACAGATATTACAATGGCCCGCAAAAATTGAGTCCTGAACATAAAGGTTCTAGTCAAAGAAATTACGGCAAAGGCCCGTATTCACCTGGTTTTGATTTCGAAGAAGACACTCACACGAAATATATAGAACATTCAAAAACTCGAAATTTTTACGACCGAGATGAGGATTTTCATAAAAACGAGTTCAGGAGACCGCGCGATACTTTGTTAAATATGGTTGGGGACTTTGTGGCTCGTTGTACTGTTCGTTTAATAGAACTTAATAGGAAGTCACAGGACGGAAAAACTATCGAATTACTGGATTCAAAATGTCATGTGGTAAATTAACGAATATCTTCGTGATATATATTTGCAATATTTTATTAAATCCTTATTTTTATCAAACATAATTTTTTATATTTTTATTTTTTATATAATTACATATTTACTATTACAAGAAATTTATATAAAAAATTTAAAGCAAAAATAATTTTTACTGTAGCGCTTAGCCGATATCGCTCATAGTCTTCTGAAAATTTCTCCATACGACCCGATCACTATGGCTTGCCGCGGTCTCAAACGATACATGAACGATATTCTTCCTTCAACCGAATGGGCAGCCGATGAAATGAGACCAGCGTTAACGTTAATTCTTAGAAGATTGGATAAAACTTTCAGTAAAATACATAAAAAACCATCGATTAGAAGAAATACCGATTGGGCTGCTGCAAGTGATCTTTTGAAAGGGGTTTACGAAACTCTGTCGAAATGTCCGTACATCGCGCATTTTCAGTATTTGAAGACGTTGTTAACTACATGTCAGGTAGATATTAGAATTATTTCATCTATAGAAAATAAATATTCTATAGAAAATAAATATTCTATAGAAAAAATAATTTTACTAAAAGTATTAAAAAATTTAATTATATACAAAACAAATCTAAAAATAACGTTGTTGGACCATCAAAATAATTATGTATAAAACTTTCAAGCTGACTAGAATGTCAAAACTTTTTGTAGCATTGCTCATTATGTTTGAGCATCCTATTACTATAATTACTTGAATAATTGAATAAAATTATTTTCAAAACTAATTGAATTTTTAAATGTTTTAATAAAACCGTTTTTTCTATGTATCATTAAAATCTGTTTTAATTTAATTAAATTTCAATTTTAATTGATCGTTCATTTTTTCAGGCTTTAATTGTTGGAGACAATCTATCTGAAGATTTAACTTCAGCTTCTACAGCTGCTTTAATGAGCAAACTGCCTGCTCCACTTCCGCCTCCGCATTTTTGCTCGACGGTGTTACGTCTGATTGCTCTACACGTGATATCTTTTGGAGAAGGATACTCCTTGGAAAATGTTCTCGGTGGTCAGAACATGTTCGCTACTCAAACTCGCACGGAAAATGCGCTATTAAATTTGTTGATACCATTGTTTCTCCGCGTCGGAACTGGGAGAAAAGGTAAAAAGGAGCATTGCAACATTCAGTAAAGCGACATTACGAATATATAATGTTATTTTTAATTGATATCTCTTTATTTAGATGTACCAAAACTGAAACAATCGGATATCTCTTTCGCTTTAACGACCGTATTAAACGCGCTTTGGCCACCGGGTGCAAAACCGATACCATTAACAATGCAAAGACCACCAACGGATACAAGAACCGGTAGTATAACGTTCACCTCGAGAGATCCGAAGGCTCTAATGAAAACATCGTTAACATTATATCAAGTTGCTTTCCTGGGTAAGATTTACATGAAGAGAGTAAATTTTTTTTTAAATAATATTGTTTTATATGATTCATATAAAATTATTGCTATGTATTTGTTGTTTTATGAACAATTCATATTTAAGTGTTTGATTTCAGCACTCAAAATAATGACGATATGTTTCGAAACTGAACTGAGAACGGAATGGCGGGTAATTCTACGTGCGATGCGTCTTCTGAATAAGCGCAATGAAGCTTCCACATATCTCTGGAATTTCATAGAATTTATTGTGACACACCGCACAGCTTTATACATTCAAATGCTTCCATTCATTGTTTATAAAATCGGACAAGCGCCGATATCCGAGCACGAACGAAATATGCACACCATTATACGCGAGAAGATCAATGGAAGTAGTACCACTGTACCAAAATCGCGAGGCACGCTGCTCATGGATCTTATTCACGAGTTAAAGAATCTAAAACAAGAAATTGAGAATCGAAAATGCGGTTAGTATTTTATCGACGTTGAAAAACTCAATAATCACATTCGCAAGTTTCAGTGTAAATATTTTTTTCATGTCTTCCATATTCATCTTTATCCTACTTACTCCAACTATTTTATAGCAAATTCAAACGTGTATTCAATCTTAATTAATTAAAATATTCATGTTAAAATTTAAATTAACTAATAATCTTTCCAATCAAATGTTTTGTAATTTCTATATACAGATGAGATGCAATCAGAACCTAAGAGAAGCGTGGTGGATATGCATCCGATAACCGAAGGCCAGCCGCGTACTCAGAGACCGTCTCTGTTGATGGATCTTTTGACTGGTGACTTAGGATCAAGAGCTCACATAAATCGTACGCCTGCTGAAACACCAGTATCTCATTCCACAGTAGTTCAATCGCAGTCTCATTCGACTCAATCCAACACGAGTAGTACTGTTAAAACAATGCATCCCACTCAAGTAACAGCACCGCTGAATGGCACTCGCATTGGTGGTACAACAATCTTTTGTTCTTTTTATCATAAGCGATTATATAATATCCAAAATAATAGATATTACGGTAAACCTACAATCAAATTAGATTAAAAAAAAATACTTATACATCAATAAATATAATACATTAGTGTTGCTATTTTCTTGATTTTTTTTCATATATCTTTTCTATAATTCTAATAATATTTTGCAATTGTAGGATCCGTATCGAGCACCAGCGGTGGATCTACCTTGCGTGAAGCAAGTGACACACTCGTCGAGGAAACTTGTATCGAGCAGCCACCGTCAACGACAGGTATTCCATTACTTTCGAGAACCCTATAAGATGATCCCAAATTATCGATTACGATCGATGCGACTGCAAGCCTCTTGCATACGTTTCATTATTGTCGTACGTGCAGTCAGTACGAAGAATCGCTGACCATTACCACAGTTGGATCGAGCCATTGTCTATAGACCACTGCCAACAGTCTCTATCTCTTTCTTTTCTCTTTGTCTTTTTCTGTCTTTCTTAACAACGATAAATCTCTTCTTTTACATTTGTGATTTCTCACGCGGTTCTTGCATAATGACGCAATTGTCTTCACTTTATTTTCCCCTTTACAGCGAGGCTTGCAACTTGAAGAATTTAATCGTTCGCCTTTCGTTTAAGGACGAAAATTCTCGTCTCGGATGATAGCAATGTCGACCTCATCATCGAGAAAAGATTTCTCAATTATCGTATATCATTTAAGGCATCATTTTAAGGCATAAGTTGTTTACGCCCCTCTCTCTCTCTCTCTCTCTCTCTCTCTCTCTCTCTCTCTCTCTCTCTCTCTCTCTCTCTCTCTCTCTGGTCGTATTATTGACACATTGATCATTACGTTACTTCCATTGCTAGCTAGGGAACGGAGGTAAGCGGACCGATTCTACAACTCAATCAATTCTAACACGATCTATAATATATATCCTGCTGGTGTGTGCCCCTCTCACGCTTAACACTTTTTTGTAATTTTGATCATATCGATCGCTCGTCCTGTTTCTTGCGTCGCCTACCTCGGTCTTCGTCCACTTCTTGTTACCTCCTTAATCCATCTTTACCGTGAAACGAGATTGATTAAATAGTGATTTAAATAAATTATAATGTAATTAAAATATGACAGAAATTAAAGATCAGATCGTAAAATTGTATAAAAATATTATTGTATGATGATATAAAAAGTTCTTTAAAAATTGTAGAATACGCAATCTTATTTCGCGGTATTTTCTTTTAGAACACTGGTATTCTATTATCGTCTCCTGTCATCACGTTTTATACGCAAACTCATAAGGAACTTATTACATAGCAGTATTTAGACAATGGTAATGTCCAACAGTTGGTACCCGTAATCGTTGAGTAGTCACTCTCTATTATATATCATAGTTGCTTCGATGTTCTGTCGCTTTCTTGCTTTACTCGACAGCACGAAACTAATTGTCATTAATTGTTTTCACAGTTAATTAACACGACGGCAACATCTATCGATATCGACAATTCCATATCGACACATTCAATTTCCAGCAGCTTTCTTAGTCCAAAGGACACATACAATTGATTTCAATAAATTCTTCAGATATCATGAAAATCTTTCATTTTGAAATACTTTATTATTGCTTGCTCTCTTCTTATTATACAGAGTATCGATTAATATACTTTTTCTAATCGAAGCAACATATTATATAGTATAGGTATTTACAGCAATTCATATAACTGATCGTATGTTAATATTATAATATTTTGTCTAATTGGTACGTCATCATCTATTACTTTTATCAAGTAAAATCGTGATTATGAGATCAGGATATAAATACAATATCTCATTTCATTACTCATATAATTTTAAAATGCATCGAGAAACGTAAAATTTTATATGAAATTTCATGAATCATTCATAAGCTACAAATTCAGGTGACTTTATTTTCAACAAAATCATTTAAGACATTACACTTTATCGCATCAATTACACTTAACCAATATTCCCAAGACTCAGGTTCGAAGTGTGCAACATTGACACGATGTATGATCGTGAACAACGTATCAACGATGACTACTATATCGTGGTCTGTCTTACTTGTTATCCCTCCCCTCATATTAGACGTTCGATGTGGCATGTTTCAGATAGATTCCAATCATCTTCTACTAGCGATGAACGTAACCATGTTAAGCTTCATTCTATCTTACCTCACCAAAAGGCGCCAAAGCTGCGCTTTGTCTCTTCCGTAGAGTTTAGAAACTCAGCAGGTAAATCCCTGTCCCCGCTTTAGCTTGTACACGATACATATATTTAATAACATGTTCCTTGAACTTCATCTCCTTCTTCTAACTTGATACAATATCTGAATATTACTGCAAAAATTAATGAATTGAAGAAATTTACAGAGATTTATTTTAGAAGACTAAATTTTTCTTTAGTCTTCATTCTCAAAAATTAAAAGCTTTGATCGATCAAATTAATCGATCAAAAATTTGACTTTGAAAATATAACTTGGAATTACAATTTTATTAATTCGTCTGCAGTAATACTTTTCATTAATAACATGACATTACCGCGTTCTTGTTAAACAGATAGCTTTAAATAAAAATAAAAAAAAAATGCAAGATTGTAGAAAATATTTCTTCTGTTTGTTACATCTATTTTAGTTGCATTATTCATTTTGTATGTCATATATAAAACAATCATTCTTTATCAATACATTAAACTTGAGAAATTACTTAGAAATTAAATTAAATAGAAATAAATTCGTAGTTTAGATTTTGCAGATTTAGTTAAGCTTTTGCATGAAGTAAAACTCATAAGGTAAATTTGAGGCACGTCAGTGTCTCACGCCATGTCTTAACGCCGAAACACTACCGTGTCTCCAAATAAAATTTGGATTAAACTTTACGCTTTTAATTAATTTATTAAAGTAAGACGAAAGCTAATTATGTATTACACTTTTTATTTATTAATTTTTTTTATTTATTAATTAACCGACATTGCCATTATTTACATCATTAACATTTTTGCCAAAAAATAGAATTTGTATTTCTGGAATGAATAAAATAATTTAAGAATAGAAGCATTCAAATATTACGTTTAACACATAATGTAATGACTATTTTGATTCATTTCTTTTTTATATTTAATTAATTCTATCAATTTGCAAGAAGTTTCTTATGTAACTCTGACATAAACATCTTTCCCTCTGGGATATCTAATGCGCGGATATGTATAACATGTGCATACGTAATCACAGTATTCTCACGTTATCACTTCCGAAGCATTAAAATAATTTGTTTTGTAAATACAATCTTGCATGCATATAATAGACATTGTAACATTTTCTATAAAAATATTAATTCCGATTTTTAACTAATGTGCAACTTACATGCAATACCGTATTCTACACGTATAAAATCTCTCCATCATTATATGTCAATCTATATAAAACATTCTCTGTACAGTAATCATTTCTAATCTATGATCTTTTTATATTCATCCATGTTTTTATAGCATTTTCTCTAAATATCAAAGTTGAAATATTTTGTTTCAGAATTAACGCTCGATCTAAATGTCATTCGATTCCATAAAGAATACACCCCTAATTTTCTATGTAATGTCTAATCTCTGTCGAGAGTCACACGTCTAAGAATGTTCAAAAATTATAAAATAGAATATATTTATAATCTTAAAAAAACTTACTTTGTACTAGAGATGTACATAGTATCATCAAGTACGCGGGAAACGCGGTTGTAAAATATTTCCTACGCACTTCAAAAACAATCTTGAATCATACACTTCGAAAAAGAAGCATGAGTAGATAAATCGTAGAGTAGAATTCGTGAATAAAACGGTAGACGCGACATGTGTGATCGTCGACTGTCCCGCCAGGAGAGACGGTGACGGGCCAGCTAAGTCCAAGCAGTCCGACCGAAGACAGTTCCGGAGAATTACGTATCGACAAGCCTCGCTTACAACGTTCTATGGGCCAAAGCAAGAAGACCTTCCGCTTAAGAAAAAGTCGAAAGAGTCACATTGAGGTGATAATATTTACATAAGTTTTTTCAGTGTTTCCGGTCTCAAGTTTCCAATCATTATTGAATTATAGAATTTTTTAGTTTTCCATATAGCTTCTCGATAGTTTTCATTATCATCGTATTTTTAATTATAATTTAATTGATTATTTAGTATTAAATTCTACTTTACATAGAATATTATCTTTCACGACGCAGACAAAGTTGGAACAGTTGGATGCAGCCCTCGTGGAACAACCAACGAGTCAACCGAAAGCGACAGGACAGACATCATCAGCAGTGGATCCGCCGCTATCATCTAATATTCCATCTAATTCCTCATCCATTCGTTCTAGACGAAGCCAGTCTATTCGCAAATCGGACGGAGACAAAAATTCCAACATGCCTGCAGATCAGCAGCATTTCCATGGAGCGGCGCATCAGCACCATCATTGTCACTACTTTCATCACCACGTGCATCCTCAGGTGTCAGATGTGTCCTGGGACGAAGACACATCTAGTACATCTGGATATCGTGAGTCATATAGTATGCAGATCGTCTCATTAGACGGTACTAATGCTCGTTCAGGTCAGGCTCCGCCTTTGGCCTCACCGGATCTAAATGACATGCCATCTACGAGTAGCACGACCACTAATTACATAGCTTTCGATGGCAGTTCTCCGGATTGCTCGATGAATGGCAGCGGAGGTGAGAAAACCGCTCTGTTAACTTCAAGTCAGAGAACGACTTCTCAGCATTCTTTATTGATGGTCTTTCCAAATCAGGACGAAGATACATTAATATAAATCACAAAATTCATTGATGCTTGATTGAGACTGATAATTTATACATACAATCAGAAATTTTAAGATAATTGATAACTAATATTCAAACTAATATTTAAATATCGAGAATAATATGTGAGAGATTATAAGATCATTTAATTTAGTTCTTTATTTAGTTCTTAAATCTTTCGTGACTAATGAAAACTTATGTATCCCATTATAATTTAGCATAAAAATGTTTTTATATTTTAATACAATTTATTTGCTTTATTGCAAATCAGAGAAATGAAGCTATATCTTAATAATTGGACTTTGTGGAACATATGTATTCTATTAATTTTAGCATTTTTGCGAGGTAGCCACGATAATATATTTTGAATAGTCTTTGAAAAATCTTTTAATAAGATTGTTAAGCAAGCAAAGAGATCAAATAGAAAGTGATTCATGAAATCTAGCTTGTTTGATCACATTTGCATTTCGATGCTTTTAAAGAATTTAGTCTAGGCCTATTCATTATCGTAGGCCTAATCGTTTATATGCTGTGATTGTATATACAAGCATATTTGAAATAAAACACTCTATGAATACATAATTTCAATAATTTACATATCCACTTCCACAGATTTCTATATTTAAATCTAAACTGCCATGTAATAGAAATAAATAAATATAAAATAGAAAGAAATAAGATAGAAAGAAAAGAACAACTCGAAATTTAAGATATTTCTTGTTTTAATTTATGTATACACATATATACATTCTATCTGTAAATATATCATTATCATGTAATATTGTCTGTGATAGGTGATTTTCATTTGGATCGATACAAATCAACACAAGCATTTCATATATAATGCGAAAAAACTTATCAGATAATTTATTCTTGAGATGAATTTCATACGGTGGCATATGGTATCACGTTTTTAATTGTTAAACGTCATTAACTGTTAAAAATATATTTAGAGTTACACTTGAGTTTCTTTCCATCATGATTCCATCTTTCTTGACATTCAGTAACAAAAATAGAACGATACTTAATTGTATTAATTTATGCCATTAAATTTCTATTACCCAATATTGTCCGCAATATTGTCTGTGATTTATTAATGAGCACGAGCATGACATAATAGGTAGCGTACTATGCCAGAGATTCCGGATTCGATCTCAAGCAGATTCAAAGAATTTTCATGCGCTCGTAGTTCCTTTTCGGTAGTCTGGCAAACCATCAAGAGTATCTATTGCCAAGAAAATCAAAAACTGTCGTTCGGAACCAGCGTTAAATTGTAAGTTCCGTATGTCTCTATGTACAACCTGCGTGCACACCACAGACATACGTATGAGAGGCCTTGTTTCGACTTTGAAGTGTCGCGTCATTGGATTGGATTGGATTTATGTATGAGAGTGAACTTAAGATTCATCGCCATGCTACCCTCAAACATGGCGATGAAGTCGATAATCTAGATACAGAATTCTGCATATTCATCAATATGTGCACACACACATATATATATATATATATATATATATATAAAAACTGAATTTTATGATACGCTAGTGAAATTATGAGGCAGATCAACGCTGATATCTGCTAAAACAAATGATACCGCTGCGAATAGAGCTGTATTCATATCCAGAGCTTTTGAATTTTCTGCCAACATGGTATCCGCGTTTGTATGGTGATAATAGAAATATTTTTCGTTTCGATTCAAAAGAGCACCACCTGGTACGCCAGCTTTAATCCAAAACGATATATCAGGGCCTGTGCATGGGCTCTTTAATTTCATGTCACCCAACGGAGCCAACAATCTAGAAATATAAAAGTCTATGCTTATTTTAAATAATAAAAATTATTATA